TAACAAACACTATATCTTCCTCTACCCAATACACTTTGAAACATAAGGTTAATTCTAAATTGGGTTAAGTCTATTCTGCTATTATACTTCTTTATACATACTACGGTTGTAGTTATTTAGTTCAACTCTTCTATTTTACCGCGTTTTATCAGTCTCTGTGTTCTGTAATTGTCATCGACTCAAACCGGAAAATTTATTCCTTCAGAACCAAATATAGCCGACCTCAGAGAAACATGCTAGCTTGAACTCAGCATATGAGCACAATATTTTTGAGGCCAAATTAGCTGGTAAATATTTCTGAGGAAATCCTAAAAATTTTTATTAGAAATTGGTGAAAATAGGTATCTCGATTTAAGACGACATGTACTAAACAGAACAAACAACGGGAATACTAAGCATCATTCACATATTTACTAACCCAAGTAATTTAACATCAGCAATTATACTAATGCGTGGGCTTAAGATTATGGACAGGTTGACTTACAGTTTCAATCTACTAATGTTCCGACCACTGAAAATTAAGCAGAAGTGCTGGAGTGGTTTATCATATAAAAACGAATCGATTGAGTAGGAAAAAAATTTTAAAAAAAAATACTCAGTATCGAGTTTGAAGCTTTTGTTTTTTCCAAGTTTTTTCCGACTGTTTTTGGCTATTTTTAGACACTTATGGGTGTTAGAAAAACGCTAAAAGCTTTTTTAAAGCTCTGAACAACTAATTTCTGACGTTTCAACTAGCAGATTCTTGGAAATTTAATTCAAAGAAAACTTGAAATGGAAAAAAGATCGGAATGTCTTTGATTTTATTTGCTTTGATTTTGAGGGCGACTATTTATGAATAATATAAAATTTATCTTCTTTTTTTTGTTCCTCTCATCAAAGCACACACAAAAACGATACAATTTTTTAAAATTAAAATAAAAAAAAAGTGGTTCAATTTTCTGTTATACTTGCGCAGCAACCATCTATTTTTGTTAACTTAGCTCAATCTACCCTGTTCTGAATTCAAATTAAAGGAGCAGACAAATAGAAGTATTCGCTTAAAAATTTTTGTGCTTACCTGGAACAAAAAAACCTCAGAGCCAAACTTTATTCAAATCTGAATGTATGCAGATTTTTATTTTTTCAACATCAGATGAAACTTAAATTTTTTGTCTAACTTTCTTTCAATTTTTTTTTGCATTACAGTGCTTTTTTTCTTCAATTATGAAAAAACAACTAGTACTGACCGATTGTACCGACTGCTCTTTAACGTCTAGAGATTATCATTCAATTTGAACAAATATGATAAAAGAGTCCAAAAAAATTGAAAAAGAAATATATACATATATATTTTTCAAAAATCAGCCACCTACACGTTATTTGAAAATAAAGTGAAACTTTTGTTCCAAATTTTAAAGAAAGGGAAGAATTATTTGACCGGGGGTGGTCTTGTTGGACCGATTTCAAAAACAGTCTACACTCCCTCAAGGGGTCAATCCCTGGAGTTTGGTGGGCCCCGCCGGTTTCGCACATCCTTAAATTAAGCTGACATTGTTCTTTTCATAGTTTGCTGCTGCAAGTGTAACGCAAAAATTCGCGCGAGTCAAATTATGGCGTACATCAAAATTTTTCCAAAATGAATTGGGGGAAGCTAAATGGTCTAATAAATCCATGCACAACTCAAATTTTAACACCAGATATTACCAGACCAAAACTTGATATTACCAGACCAAAAATCATTTTTTGTCAATATTTCATTTAACAAAACTTAATTTTAGACCAGTTAAAGGGCAGTCGCAAAATTCAGGGCTTTGCCCTGTTGTGAGTAGCCTCGTTAGCAAATAGTAAAATCTTTAAAATTAGGACAAGATCGTCCGGTTTTTAAACCATAATAATCGTATTATATTAAATCTCAGAGTATCTTTAAACAGCTCTCAGGACTGTCTAAGCACACTTCGTTTCTAATATTTTTTCAAATTCCAGAGTTATTTTGTCGAATCATTTCTACATGTCTCGTTGTTACGTTACTAGCAGCAGAAAATATAATTTTGCGCGTAATATTGCATGTCAGAAATAAACTCAAAAACAAATCTCGAGACTTATATTTGTTTGTGGAATTATTTTTTTTTCAAATTGAAAACTACAGCAAAGAAGTTAAAGGGCAATCGGAAATTTCAAGATTTTGCCCTGATACAAAAGTTTTGTCTAATTAGAGCTTCTAACAAATTTATCGGACAAATCATTGAATTTATGAAATCATTCCGACCTTCAATTTGAAACCAAATCTAAATATTTCTTGGAAGTTTTGTGTTTGCCTTTCTGTCGGCGTTTTATGTGTTTGTTTTGCCCTTGAAAGTATATAGCAAATCTTCGCTGAATGATTTTTTTTTCAGTTTTGCTCTTGAATTTAGGCAAAAATGAAATTCTCCGAAGTAGCGCAAGCCTTTTGCATTGCTCTTTTGTCTGTTCAAATGCAGTTTTGAAAACTCGATTGCGCTTTTAACGCCATTTTACTGCCTCAATGTCAGAAGTATAATTAGTAGCAAAAAGTTCGGACAGACAAAATTAATTAAAAAGAGCAATTGACCTATTTTGGAAAAATTTTGCATGCAAAATCTAATTTTTCAGTTCGATTTTGTGTCTCAAGGTTGTATGAAAAAAGAAATTGCATGCAAAAATCTGTCAAAATGGTACGATTGCTCTTTTTAATTAATTCTGTCTGTCCGAACTTTTTGCAACTCTCTATATTTCAAAAAATTTAGACGGTGTCCAATATGTTTGTTATAGAGACTTGCCAGAAGTTCGGACAGACAGAAATAATTGAAAAGAGCAACTGTCTAGACATCAACAGAATTTAAAACTGAAATAAACATAGCGTCGAAAGTTCATAAAGCAGAGTTAAGGGATCTACTTAACAATTCCCATTTAAAAGTGGAGGAGATCGATAATAAGATCACTTGCAGCGAAGTTTCGACCAATCAGAATGCAGCAAAATTCGAATTTACATACAATGCTTTAGTGCGAATTTACAGTTTTTATTTACTGGGGTGGAGTTTCTTCAGTAAATTTAATAGGGGGAAATTGTTAATATTCGCTGAAAACCTATAACCACGGCGGGCTATTGCATCCGAAGCGTCAAAATGTTTTTTAGTAAAATCTGGCTGTTCATCGCAGTACTTAAAAATTAGGCTAGCATAATTATCGGATAATCGACGAGCTCTCATTTTGAATTTGGTCTGACAAAAAAGTCAAGGTTATTTGGTTTCAGATATTGCATGCAAAAAAGCGTCGAAAAGCACTGATTGCTCATTTTATTTAATTCTGTCTGTCCGAACTTTTTGCTATTAGTTATAAAAGCTATAACCGGCTTTGAACTCTAAAACAATGAACTTTACCTTTTATCAACGTAGGCCTTATATCCTGAAATTTATGGTAAAAATTATTAGCAATTAATCAAAATAATCTTCAATGGGTCCAAAAAATTTTGGCTTTTCCTCAATTTCTCTCAATGCTGCTTTCATCTGTAGAGTGTCGAAAATATTTTTGTACTCCACTTCTTGTGATTTCAACTTCAGCTTCAGTTCAAAAATTTCCTGTTTTATTCGGCCAACTTCTGAATTCTTTTCACGCACTACTTGTTCGGTTAAATGTCTGCAAGTCGAAATTTGTTCTTGAAGTGACGCGTTTTCCTTTTCAAGAAGAATCATAAATAAAATTGAGTCTTTCTCCATAGAGAGGTGCAGCATCTAAACACGCACTACTGTTCGCAGAAGATTTACCCGCTCTTACAAAGTCATGAAAAATCCGGGAACGGTCTCATTTAAATTGCAGGGCCCAGCTTTAACTAATAATTCAACAATATATTCGACTCCTCTTCAGCCAAAGAGTCCCCCTTTGGTAGAAATCTACGAAATCAAATTTTGTCAGACGATCCTCAAAATATATTTAAAGATTCTCTGGCGATAAAAAAAATACTAATTTCGAGTGAAAGCTCGCGCCGAAAGAATGCAATGCGCGTTTTGCGTTTTTGTCTTACTTTTGTTCTAAATTTGCCAACAAAAATTTTGACACAAAGGGGTTATTTTGCGAGACCCTAAAAGTTTTTGAGATTTGTTGAAACCCCCCCCCCCCCGCCGCCGCTCCTCCTCCTCGAGAACATTCTAGAATTGCCAATTTTCTGCATCTTATTTTTCACGCATTTAATTTGTAATGTTAAAATTGTAGGAAGCTAAAAAAATTGCTATGTGCGAAACGGGAAGTAAAAATTATCCTTCTTACCCTCCTGAAAGTATTTCTAAACAGAAAAAAGCAACAAGAATATATTTACCTGTACATCTCTCGGAACTGATATGGTACTATCATCTAACTCGTTCACGCGTTTTTCAATTTTTAACATTTCCTCGAAATAGTTGTTTCTATGAAGGGGATCACTGCTTACAAACAGTTTTCGAACTTGCAAATCGTTCCTCAGCCGAGCAATTTCAGTAGTACAATCTTGCCTCTCTGATTCTTTGTGAGATTTTTCTTGTTTGCCTTTGTTTAACTTCTTCTTTGACTTTTTACCTTTTCCCTTCTTGCCGCCCATTGTGCCTGTATTCGAAGAAAGTAACTCGAAACTAAAATTTATAAAATCAAACAAATAAGATTTGAGATTCAAAAAGGTCTTTTAGACTGTCCGAAAGTTCATTTTCTTCTCAATACAATGTTTTCTCAGCGAATGCCATTTGATAAACTTTTTTGTGATTGCTCAAACTATTTTTATTTTTGCCAGTTTACTTTTGTGCATAATTCTTGTTCTTTTTTGTCAAAAACGATCATTTGAAAACCATCATAAAAGACCGTATTTTCTACTTGTGCTCAGTACACATATCTCGGCGTACTTGATTTTTGTTGTAGCTAAATTTGAGCATTAAGAAATTACATGCTCTTTTGTGAACGGTTTAAATTTTTTATTGAAGCACGCTTGTTACATACATATTTGCGAATGCTACCAACAAAAATTCATCCGATTACTGCAGTACAGTCAAGCGTTTATATATCTTGAATATTGCATTAGTTAATTTTTTAATAAATTCGCACGGTTGTGCTTAAAATTTTTAAAAATATCTCCATAGCTCGAAACAACAGCGTCAGTTTTATAGTTTTGTTATACTATTGATCGTGTTAATTAAACTCGGTTCATCATTTCGTGAAATTGTAGACGGTTGTTAGAAGTATGCCTCCAAAAAAGGGTAAGAAGGGAGGCGGGAAGAAAGGAGGGGGTAAGAAGAAGGGGGGCAAGAAGGGGAAGAAGGGGGAGGAGGAGTTGACCCCGGAGGAGCAGCTGAAGAAATCGACGATGGAGATGCAGAATCTGAAACATCATCTATCACTCCAAAACAGCCTCTCAAGGTCAGCCAAGTTTCACAACAATCACAACAGCTATTCTGTCATGGTAAAAGTCAGACAAAAGTTGTCTTTATTGCCACATTTTATGTTTTAGTAGGGCTGAGCGTTTTGAAAGTATAAAGAGCCATAATAATTTGGTCGGGTTTTCATTTTTCTTTTTCCGCTTCAGGCGAACCCAATCTGCACGTGATCAACTGAAGACTGACTTCTTGAACCTAACCGACCAATTAGAAGAGGAGCGAAGTGACCAATTGGATGTTCATAACGATCTAGCGCGTCAGTTCAAAACATTTCAGACGGAGAAAAACCTCGTCATTGACAATTTGCAACGTGAAAACATCCAATTGAACAACGAACTAACAAATTGCCAACAAGTTCTCGCCAACACAATTCAGGAAAAAGATTCCATCATTAGGAAAAAAGAGGATGAAGTTACTGAATTGAGGAACAAACTGAGAATTTTGGAGAGCACGTATCAAAATATTTTTGACACTTCATTGAGAAATCTGCAAGTTAATTTGACAAAGGCAAAAGATCAGTGGGAAAGGTCATCAATTGACTTGCAAGACAGAACCAAGGAACGATTAAAAGAATTTGGAATAAATTTCCAGGAATTTTAAAGACAAATTTTCAAATTAATAAAAATTAAAAAGATTTAGACTAATAACAGTTTCACTTGAATGTAATTACATAGTTCACAAAATAAGAGTTCGATACGAAAGTGACGGAATATTTGTGCTCAGGGTTGGTTTTTTTCTTCAGACAAATTTCGACTTTTTAACTAGCCCTTTTTGACGGAATTTTAAAATATCATTCGAAAGGTGGTGTTGTCCTGAGCTCAAATTTGAAAAGATATTTCACCTGTGATCATTTTTCGTAAAGTTACGGGGGTTTAAAAGTTGCCATTTTGGCAAATTTGGGACAATTAACGCGCGATATGTTTTCGCGCTATTAACGCGTAAGCGGAGAGTCAATCCGTCTTAGAAATCGTTCCAAATTGGTTGAAAGAAGCTTATTTGCCATAAGTCATTTGTTAACAGGAGCGAAATCTATCCTTTTGAATTTAATATGGCGTGTGAGGGGGATGATTTTGATAAAAAACTTCAAATTAAAAAAAAATTCATTTAGTTTTTACTTCATTTAATTTTTAAATGTTATTACTGCTCTATAAACCTTAAAAGGCAGTTGGAACATTCAGGGCTTCGCCCTGATACGATTACTCTTGTTGTTCCGACTTTCGATACGAAAGTAACGGAATATTTGTGTGGGGGTGGGTTTTTTTTTCTTCAGACAAATTTCGACTTTTTAACTAGCCATTTTTGGCAGAATTTTTTAATATCATTCAAAAAGTATTGTTGTCCTGAGCTTAAATTTGAAAAGATATTTCACCTGTGATCGTTTTTTGTAAAGTTATGAGGGTTTAAAGATTGCCATTTTGGCCATTCTGACCAATTTGGGACAATTAACGCGCGATATAATTCGCGCTATTAGCGCGTAAGCGGAGATTTAATCCGTCTTATAAATTGTTCCAAATTGGTTGAACGAAGCTAATTTGCCATAATTTTTTTGTTACAAGGAACGAAATCTACCTTTTTGTACTTTATATGGCGTGTGGTGGGATGGTTTTTATTAAAAAATTCAAATTAAAAAAATTTTCATTTTATTTTACTTCAATTAATTTTTTTATGTTATTAATGCTGCTCCATAAGCCTTAAAAGGCAGTCGGAACATTCAGGACTTCGCCCTGATACGAGCAGTCTTTTTTATTTTTGTTATCAAGCTAAATAGTGCAGGCTGTTTCCCAAAATTTATTCAAAATTTTCTAGATTGAAAAAATATTGGCATTGACTTTTAAAAAGTCCATTCATTTTTTTTATGTTGGGTCAAAATTCCCGGTGTCATTTATTGGTGGCAAATTACAATCTCGTCTTAAGCTCCGGGCTTAGGTGCTCGACTCATGATTCGGCCGAAAAGGTCGAACGTTGTTCAGTTTTCGACAACACCTCAAGTCGAAAATTAATGACCCAAATTTAGTGACCCAAATTTACGGTTGTAGTCCGACGGTTGTATTCGAGCAAAGTCCAATCCTTGGTCCTAGTGTGTTGGACAGAAGTGACCAAAAATTTGAAGTGAATATATGAAAGAAATTCTCAGCGTTTTTTCTGTCTTGTGTTTTTTTTTTGTAAAATCGAACATGATCAGAACGGCATTTAATACTCACGCAGCGAGTTTGTGTGCCTGCATAGATAAAATTAAAAAACAGACTCATGTACAATTATTCTGTTCAATATTAGTGTTCTTCTTAGCTTCGGGTTGCAGTTTTTATGAATTCTTGAGACTAGCCTAAAGACGAGTAAAGAAATTTCGGAAACATTCAAATTTTCGTTTTGTTATTTATCGTTCCGATTTTTGAAGAAAAATTGCTATATTTATATCTGAGGTGGTTTTTTATTCCGTCCATTTTTGATTTTTGTTTTAGCGTTTTTGACAAAGTTTTTCATCGATTTTTCAACAATTCAAGAAAAATATGAGGGTTCGAAAAGTGTTAATTTGGCCCATTCGGAATATTATTAACGCGCGATAGTTTGCTTTCTCATTTCCCGCCGTAAGGAATTAACGCGAGAGAAGAAATTTGAAACCAGATTTTGTGGTAGATAATTGCGAGAGACGAATAACTGAAACCAGATCACGTGGTGTGCAAATTTGGGTTGTTTTTGCAGCGTCAAAAAAATTAAAAGGATCGTTTCTTTTTAAAGCTAACCGCCGCCTGAAATTTTCATACTCAATTAATAATACCCCAGTTTGATTGATTTATATCCAGTGACAGCCATAGCTTAAGCAACAAAAGAACTTTTTGAAGTTATTTCCCGCAATAAGGTTCCATTATCTATTATAATGCGTTTGTATGATCTGTCTCGATGAAACGTTAAAATGGATTCATAATCAATTATAAACCAAGCAAAAGAGAAATCAGTTTCAAATAATATAATGGATTATAATTGGTTATAATAGATTATAATGGATAAATGGAATATAATAGACTATGATGGTTTGTTTTAAGCAAGAGCATGGATTGTCCAAAACTTTTTTGTATAGTTCAAAAACTTGAACATCGCAATCAATAAATTGAAACATAAATTTGTCACGTAATGTTTTATTTTTAATTTCTAAACAATTTTTTTCTCAGTTGTTTTCTTAATTGGGGTATCTCTGCCATCCTCCATTTAACCCACGGTTAAAACTACCATTCTTACTTCTCGCATCCTACTATTTTTACCCCAAACCACCCCACCCTGCAACCGACCTCAAAACATCCCTCCACCGGTTTTTGCCTGTTGCTTAGATTTATTGAAAAATTTTGAAAACTGCTCTGGGGAAGTTTCAAGGGGTGGTTGGGGACGGGGAGGGATGTGGGGGAGGAAAGAATAAAAAAGAGTAAAAATGTCGGTGATTGGATAAAAAGGGTAGAATTCCACTCGAATAGGTGTTAAATGTGTGCTGGATATCGTTTTGCTAAAATTAGGTAGTTGCGAGTAGGTTTAGAAACCAAGTACGAAATTTGCCTAATGAAAATTTTGAGACGTTTGTACATTATCATCCATTATAATGGATCATAAGTGGATTACAATCAATTTGTGTTTTTTTTTTCAAAAAATATGGCTATAATGGATTATAATCGATTGTGTGGCGCCAAAGTTAGTTAATCATCACCACTAAAATCGACTATAATCGATAATTATTAATGAAACATAATTGCAGGTTCCCCTGTTTCATAATATCACTTTTATTCAACAATTGATAGAAAATTAATGAAGTTTAGTTGAAACCTTACAGCAATGATTGAAAAATAAAATAAACGTTAGAGTATGGGTTTAGGGTTGATGATTCTCTAGTTGATAAGCGTAATGCACAAAAGTCTATTTGCGATTCGACTTTCAATTACTTTTCAAACCCATTTACTGGCGCCTTATAATTCAAGTTAAATAACCGAACAAAGGCGCCGGCATCTGGGAAATATTTTACTATTTTTCCATCTGAAAACTCTAAATTGGTCTTGAGATCAGAAAAGAGCGAAAATATTTGTCGTTTTCTTTAAAACTTGGAACATCAAATCGTGATAACATTGACAGTATGATTTTTTTTGCTGTACAGGCTTTGAAAATCGAGACGACTGATTTTTTAAAGCTCTGCAAAACTACGTGCTGCCAAACTTCAATTTACATTAAACTGTATAATCCTTAAGATAGTTTGAATAGTTTGAACCATGAAGATACCCTTTCACTTTTTCAACACAATTAACAATTAATTTTTATAAGCCAATAAGCAAATTCAAAACTACATGATTGCTTGTATATCACGGGAAAACCCTGAAGGTTCCGACTCTGATTGCCCTTTTTAGTCGATCACAAGAGTTTTGCTTAACAATATTTAAAGAGAAAATCTGAAAAATGAGAACATATATTGAGGTTGATTAGAGGCCATTTGTTTTATACATTTGAGCTACAAGAAACATCAATTTATAAAATAATCTGTCAAAATAATTATAATTTGGGAAATTGTTTGATTAAAAACCACTCCAGCCATAAAAACTCCATATTTTTAGGAAGACGGAACAAAAACATGCCGAAAACAGCCTAAGTTTTCTCATATTTTTATTATCCAGAAATTGTTTTATATTTGTTGATTTTTGTAATTCGTCTGGAACTGTGAGGAAGATCAGTTTTTGTTTTTGAAGGTAAAAATTTCATATCAAGTGTAAAACTGTTAGTTTTACGAAATTGAAACGACCAATTAGTTAGCCTCAAGTCAATTCTTAGATATTTCTCTTGGATTTTCTTGTCAGATTCGCTGAAAATTACCCCCATCTTAAATTTTTTTAATGAAAAATTCAAAAAATTGCCAAAAATAAGTTTCTATGTTATAATCGATTTGTTTTTATTTCAAAAAATTGGATATAAGGGATTATAATCGATTGTGTGGTGCCAAAGTGAAATGATTATCATTTATAATGGCAACACTCTGGACCAATAAAACTGATAATAATTGAATACTGTGCATGGAACCTCAATGCGGGTTCCCTTGTTTCATATTAATTCTTAAATTCAACGAAATAATTCAAGAATTATTGAAACTTAGTTGAAGTTTTACAGCAATGGTAATTGAAAACTTAAAAAAATTTGGAGTATGCCTTTAGGTTTGACGACTCTCGACTTGACAAGAGTAATAGACAAAAGTTTATTTGCGATTCGATTTTGAAATAGTTTGAAAGTCCAATTACTGGCGCACTAGAAAAAAAGTTTAATAACAGAATAAAGTCGCAGGCATCTTATACTGTTTCTCTTGCCAAAGTGCGGATAAAAAACTTTTTAATTGAATGAAATGGCAATTTAAAAATGACCATCTTTCACCGCAAAAGTTTGCAGTTAGAGTTGTTTTCCTTTTTTCAGGGGCTTCAAAATTAAAAAGATTAATAACTTCAAGTTTAAAAAAAATCAATTTTTTTTGTAATAAAAAACTGTTTGATTGAAGTATTTCTTGGCATTTTTCAAAACACTACTTTTTCAAGAAAAACGATCAACGCTGAAACATATTTTAAACCTTGAGCACAAGACTACAGAAAATCTCAGATGGTACCAAAGTTTCAGTATCGAAATTCGTGAATTTTTTTTTGTAATTCAAAAATGGT